GGGCGGTGCGCTCAATGTCCTCGAACAGTGTGGCATGATTGACGGTATCAAAGGCTTTTGATAAATCAAGTGCCACCATAACTGTTCTATCGCAAGGCCTTTTCTGGTTGAGACCTCTGCTGACATGTGTGGAAATGGCATGTAAAGCTGCTGTTGTGCTGTGAAATTTTCGGAATCCGTGTTGTTGATCGGCTACTGGGAAACATTCTCTTGGGAACACCCTGCCCATTTTACAGGCATCGGGAACTACCAGGATGGCTAACGACAGATTGAGGAGCTTTGTAAGATATTCAACTCCTGGTTCATCCAGTTGCTACAACATCACCATAGAGATTCCGTCAGGACCAAGCGCTTTGGATGACTTTGCGCTTCTGATAACATGTACAACATCTTCCAACGTAAATTGTGGTGGTACCTCCTCGGCTGGAAGGTATCGTACACGGCGTACGATTTTTCTCTCTGCCCTTTTCGGATCTGTCACTTCTACGCCGTTAAATGCCTAAACGGTTCGAGAGCGACTTAACCGTTGCCCACAATTTACTCGTTCCGGTACTGATGATGCAATGCTTCAGATGTTCTAATCACCTTTTTCCGCTTATGCTCACCTACTAACATGTTTACCTCCAGAGTAAGTTCCCTCTTTCTGGGGTTATTAGGGTTAGTACGGTGAAGCTCATTTCGCTCTTTTGCTAATCCCGCTGCCTCTGCTAGGAAATTTGGTCTTATTTCACGTTTTCGACCAGCAGGTATATAGCGAGCGGTTGCAGCTTTGATGATGTCACGGTAACACCTATCTACTACCTGAACATCAGATGGGTTGGGCAGTTCTCTGAAGCTGCGATTGGTATATTCTCTGAATTCTTGCCAATTGGATTTCCCGTGGTTAAGGAAAGTACGGCGTTCAGAGTCTATGAAATCGGATGGTCTGTTGATGGCGAAAATAATGGGGAGGTGGTCTGAGCCTAGAGAAATGACGGCTTGCGAAGTTACGTTATTCGTTAGACCTGGGGACACGATGAATATGTCCGGAGAACTGTGGAAGTCTCCCCTTATTCTGGTAGGCGCGTCCTCATTCCCTGTGTAAAACGTGGAGCTATCAATTTGCTCAGCCAGCACCATGTCTCTCTGGTCATTACCTAAGATGTAATGTCATAATTCATTCATAAATTGCTGTTGATGAGATTGCGGGGGACGCAATGAGGACACCGAAGATGAAGATTTACTGGGTCTACATTGACGCAGCAGGAAGCAATGTAGTCCTTATCGCTGTACTCCTGTAACCGCTTTAAGCCGGAACAATTCCGGGTATTTGAAAGACTCAAACATGTGTGTGGAAATGGAATTGGTGTTTCACACGCTTATCTAAATATTATTTAGTTTTTAGTTTACTTTATGCTAAGTACTTACATTCTTATCAACATAGAATTTACTCTTCAGTTTAGTGATAATTTTGTATTGAACTATTTACGCACGACTATGTTTAATAGTTTTTGTAAATTATAATCTACCCAACGCTGTGTTTGCCTGCTGCATAAGATAATGAGCATGTAATAAAGATTTTATGACCCACACAAGAGATATGCAAGATGAGTCGCGTACGCAAGATGAGTCGCGTTGGTCTGTCACCAATTCATATGTATTCTTGAATAGAAAGTAAGGGTTGCTAGATAGTGTGTAAGGTTAAGAATTATTTTGTAAGCTAGCACTTAAGATGGAATTATGAAAAAATAAATTCAGTGTCGAATCAAGCATCATACGAGCATTTTCATTCTCCTCCCAAATATTTGGTCCATCGAGCGCTCACTTTAGCGAAAGTGAAGGAACTAGCAAACATCAAAAATCGAATCAACAACAATCAAAAACTATTCAACATTAGGAACAAACAACTTTAACAACATCAACATCAAGTGTGGTAACAGCAGTTAAACAACTCACCAACCACAATATAACAATCTACAAAACTCAACAACAACATTGATCAACAATCGCAAACAAAAAAAAAAAAAAAAATCTACAAAAAAAAATTAAACATCGATCAACTACAACATTTTTAAAAGGACTTATCAAAATGCCTAGTTGCCAAGAAATGTACTCTCAACAATACACAATCTTTAAAGTGTTAGATGCTATGTTGCAGACGGCGCGAGGTAGGAAATATCGCAGTAATACCATACCAGACATGCGTAAGAATGTGCTAGAACAATGGGGAACATTCTGCAGAAATGATGAGGCACTCAAAAAAAGGGACGATAAGAATGAAAATGACCCGTATTATAAGGAGAAAGCGTATGAAATTGCACAAAACATGAAAGAGGACATATGGAAGATTTTAAGTGATGCAGAAGCAGAAGAATCTCACACCGTTAAAATAAGTCCACAACAAGGAGATTCAAGTCCACAAGAACATAGCTTAAATACACCACAGTTATCATTCAAATTAATGGAAATTGGTGAAGTGACAAATGAAAATCACAACAAACTAGCAAGATCATTAGAAAATCAATTTAATTCTAACGTAGCAGAATTAAATTCTATGATAAAGCTGGTCGAAACCAAGAAAGACAAGATATATTTAACAAAACTGCTTGAGAGACTGGAAGTCCAGATGAACACACTGCTCGACATTCGATCAGAAATGGCGAGAGAAGGTGCAGGAAATGACTTTACGGAAGATCAGTGGGAGCAGTCCGGAGAAGATTTCAACAAAGCTCAGATGCAAATAACAGAATTGTTGACATCTTTAGAAGCGGCAGAAAGAAAATCCGTAATGGTCGAAAAAATAAAAATTCCAGAGTTTAGTGGACGTCGTGAAGATTGGAACTCATTTTATGAATTATTCCGCACATTAGTGCACGAAGATAAAAATGCCTCAGATCAAGAGAAGCTGTTTCATCTACGGTCAGCTTTGAAGGGGGATGCACTGCAGATTATTCAAAACATGCCGTTAACCAGTTCAGCATATGAAGGGGCTTTGGAAGCATTACGTAAAAGGTACGACAATAAAAGGACTCTATTCACACATTATGTGGACAGCCTATTAGATGTGCCAAAAATTAATGGATCATCAGTGCACAGTATCAAGAAGTTATTGGATACAGCTATAGAGAGCATTGAGTGAATCAAATCCATGAATTTGAAACTGGGAGATGCATACCCAATTCTGGCACACATAATAGTGCGCAAATTGGATAAAGAGACTCTTTTACAATATGAACAGACAATACAAAAGTGTACGGATATTCAAGATATCAACGACGTTCTAAAATTCTTGGAGCAAAGATATCAAACTTTGAATTCAGTTTGGTCTATAGATGACGGAGATAAGCAGAGATTCAAGCGACAATACAGTTTTGAAGTGGCAGCAACAAACAGCGAAGAAAATCAAACAAAATGCGGTTATTGCAAAAGTTTTGGGCACAAGATTCACCAATGTCAGCAGTATAAAACATTAACAGTGAAGGAGAGGATTGATTGGGTAAGACGGAACGAGCTGTGCACTGTTTAAATCATAAGGCAACAAGAAGATGCATTAGCAAAACGAATTGCTTTATGTGTAATGGCAGACATCACACCAGCCTTCATATTGAAAAATCGGCTTCAGGAGGCAACAAAGGAAAATCAACATTTACCACAATTAAAGAAATGCATCATGTATTAATTGCAACAGCACAGATACGAGTAAAATCGAAGCAAAACGAATACATCACCTTGAGAGCATTAATCGATCCTTGTGCAGATATTGCAGTTGCCAAAGCAAAGAACAGATGTAACACTGCATGGACTTGGAGGAGCAGTCGTCGGTAAAGCAAAATCGAAAGTTATTATCGAAGTAAAACCCAGATTTTTAAGCGATTTCGCTGTGAATATAGAGGCAGTCGTACTTCCTGAGTTGGCTTCAGTTCAGCAGGATCCAACGTGTGAATACGATATAGATAAATAGGAAAATTTTACGCTAGCAGATCCGGACTTTACGTCGTCAGATAGAATCGACGTGCTAATTGGAAGCGATGTCTACCACGAAATCCTTCAAGATGGTATTCACAAAAAAGATAGTATATTGGCGCAGAGGACGAAGCTAGGATGGATACTGTCGGGACCGACTACGGAAAAAAAGGGAAGCAGCAAGAAAATTGTAGCAACTACTACTCTGGAAAGATTTTGGGAGATACAGGAGGTGAGCGACAATCAAGCAGTGACAGAGGATGACTTTTGTATATCAAATTATGGTTCAACAACATCGTTAGCGAATGATGGCCGGTTTATGGTCAGACTTCCCTTCAGGGAAGACGTTGAATTAGGAGATTCACGTAAAAGAGCTATGGCGAGATTTTTGAACATTGAAAAGAAATTATGCGCCAACCCTGAACTAAAAATGGAATACAAACAGTTTATGGAAGAATATATTAGTATGGGGCATATGGAACGAGTAGAACCGGAAATACGGGGAAAATACTACCTTCCCCATCAAGCTGTCATCAGAGAAAGCAGTATAACTACAAAAGTAAGAGTGGTGTTTGATGCGTCTTCCAAGACATCAAATGGAAGAAGCTTGAACGATATTCTCTACGCTGGACCAAGATAAGAGAGCACATGCCTGAACACCTCAAATTTCCTGGGAAAAAGTATGATCAAATTAGAGCGGTATACAAACTTCTTACTGCTAAGGCAGCATTAATTGAGGACCGACTGATGGTTTCAGCTAATATTCCATTGTTCACGTCTCAGCTGCATCGGATCATCCCCCTGCCTATAAGGCTGAACGGTGGGAAAGTTGTAGCACAGCCATCGGGACATTATCTGATATATAATTTCAACAGGGATGCCTATCATATAATGACGCAAGCTGAGTTAAACATGTGTCAGCTGTACATTGACGATGAATATGTTTGCGAAGGTAATTGGCCATGGGTCGACGCAAATGACCATTCGTGTGAGGTGTACTCTCTTAAGCCCCTAAATGCACCGAGATGCCAGTTCTCTGAGACAAAGATGGAATCGCTATGGACGAAGCTGCAAGCCAACAACCGCTGGTTGTTCAAAGTTTTTCAACCAACAACTGCTCACGTATCCTGCAGTCGAGATTCACAGCAAATAGTCCAGCTACCGAGTCAAGGCATCATTACGATGAAGCCAGGATGTACATTAAGGGTAAAAGGAGCAACAATTTCCACACCTTTCAATCTTGAATCGAAGAAGGTCGTGGAAGACAAATCATCCTTCGTAGCAGACATAGACCGGCTGTCTAATTTCTCGGTCATGCCTTTAGGGCCGATGGTGGTAAATCACTCAGCAAGGCTAGTGGATATAGAGTCTCAGTTGAAAACGATCGATGTCTCACAGCTTAATCTAAAAGGGTTGAATTTTCATCACATCTCCGGGCACTTATCTCTAATGGTCATGGTAGCCGCCTGCATAATAGCTCTAATATGTTCAATCAGAAGATGCATAAAACCGACAAGAGTAGCATCTATTCACTTTGCCCCATCGCAGAATATTTGAAAGACTCAAACATGTGTGTGGAAATGGAATTGGTGTTTCACACGCTTATCTAAATATTATTTAGTTTTTAGTTTACTTTATGCTAAGTACTTACATTCTTATCAACATAGAATTTACTCTTCAGTTTAGTGATAATTTTGTATTGAACTATTTACGCACGACTATGTTTAATAGTTTTTGTAAATTATAATCTACCCAACGCTGTGTTTGCCTGCTGCATAAGATAATGAGCATGTAATAAAGATTTTACGACCCCCACAAGAGATATGCAAGATGATTCGCGTACGCAAGATGAGTCGCGTTGGTCTGTCACCAATTCATATGTATTCTTGAATAGAAAGTAAGGGTTGCTAGATAGTGTGTAAGGTTAAGAATTATTTTGTAAGCTAGCACTTAAGATGGAATTATGAAAAAATAAATTCAGTGTCGAATCAAGCATCATACGAGCATTTTCATTCTCCTCCCAAATACCGGGAATGCACCTGTTCACAATAGCCCCTGATGATTTGAATTAATTCGCCAACACTGTTTAGTTTTATTGCAAAATGTTTATTTCGTATTGCCAAATTTTGGCAAACATTGTTTTAATTCCTAAGGTAAGTCAATTTTATTTAGGATAAAATATATTAGACATGCAAATAATAAGATTATACGTACATTTTGATTTCAAACCATCAGGTATAATTAATTTTTATTGCAGTATGTTAACTGCTTGACGAACTATTGTAAAAGAAAGAGAGCTTGCTTGAGCACTCAAAATATAACTTCTTATTGTAGAATTTAGTACAAAAGGAATAAAGTGTAATGGAGGATTTAGCAAAAATTATGAATAATCGATAAATGACATCGAATTTGCTTAAAACAATACTTGAAATTATTCATGTTGGTTACTAGATGAGGTGATATGCGTTGACACCCACTCCATGCATCCGTTGCATCTCACCGAGACCGATATGTGGTGGATGCGATTACGACAAACGGAGTAGAAACATGGTCCGGGGTTGGTCTCGATCCCGGCTCGGACCAAGAGAATACAGATAACACATTCGGGATGGACGAACACGAACATGTATTTGCTGGGTTGGCGGCCCCTGGTCGGAGATTTGTACCTCCGAGCCAATCCGGTAAATAGAACCGGCCGCTGTGTATATCTGTAGTTTAATGAAGCTGCTCTACCTCCTTATTGTACCATGGGTATTTCCATAAGCTTTCAAAGGGTACTCATTTTGTAAATACCGAACCGGATAAAACCCGGATGTTGTATCCGAAATTTCTGGTCAAATAACCGGATATTTCTCTCATGCAAAAAATACTTTCCCTTAATTAGGTAAAAATAAAAAAATAGAAGAAATATATAGAAGAAATTGTTAGACTATTGGCGCTGGAGTCCAGTTAAATATTTTTCGCCTAGAGATAGTTTTCGCATGGCTAAATTACAGAAGATAGAACAAAGCTACCTCTAAATACATTTTTTTCTTTAGGTGCGTTGGATGCCACTACTCCGTTTAAAATACATCCACAGTTTGTTTGTGTGTACGTACTGTTTTGAATAAAAATAAAATGTTGTTGTTGCAAAATAGTCAGGTTTGTTTATTAGTGGAGAAAGACAAAAAACAAGGAAGGATTGGGGGCTCTTTCCGAAACCTAGGTATTCCCTGCCTTACCCCTGTAAGCATTAAATCTTTCACCACTAATAAACAAACGTTGTTTTTATAAACTGTTTTTTTAACTTTGAAGCGATCCCCTTTTTAAAGAGCAAAGATTTGCTCTTTTTCCATTTTCTGACTCCATTCAATCTGATTCTGCCTCTAAGTCCAGTTTCAAAAAGGATGCCACCTATATGGGTTGTGTCCATAACGAGACTGGAGTTATGTGAGTAGGTTTGGCTGGGCAGCGAAATAGGTGCAACGTGTCATGCGGGCCTGTGCCACAAGCTGGGCAGATGTTCTGCAAGTCGCTGTTAATCCGGGCCCAGTAGGAAGATTTCGGAGAAGATTTCAACAAAGCTCAGATGCAAATAACAGAATTGTTGACATCTTTAGAAGCGGCAGAAAGAAAATCCGTAATGGTCGAAAAAATAAAAATTCCAGAGTTTAGTGGACGTCGTGAAGATTGGAACTCATTTTATGAATTATTCTGCACATTAGTGCACGAAGATAAAAATGCCTCAGATCAAGAGAAGCTGTTTCATCTACGGTCAGCTTTGAAGGGGGATGCACTGCAGATTATTCAAAACATGCCGTTAACCAGTTCAGCATATGAAGGGGCTTTGGAAGCATTACGTAAAAGGTACGACAATAAAAGGACTCTATTCACACATTATGTGGACAGCCTATTAGATGTGCCAAAAATTAATGGATCATCAGTGCACAGTATCAAGAAGTTATTGGATACAGCTATAGAGAGCATTGAGTGAATCAAATCCATGAATTTGAAACTGGGAGATGCATACCCAATTCTGGCACACATAATAGTGCGCAAATTGGATAAAGAGACTCTTTTACAATATGAACAGACTATACAAAAGTGTACGGAAATTCAAGATATCAACGACGTTCTAAAATTCTTGGAGCAAAGATATCAAACTTTGAATTCAGTTTGGTCTATAGATGACGGAGATAAGCAGAGATTCAAGCGACAATACAGTTTTGAAGTGGCAGCAACAAACAGCGAAGAAAATCAAACAAAATGCGGTTATTGCAAAAGTTTTGGGCACAAGATTCACCAATGTCAGCAGTATAAAACATTAACAGTGAAGGAGAGGATTGATTGGGTAAGACGGAACGAGCTGTGCACTGTTTAAATCATAAGGCAACAAGAAGATGCATTAGCAAAACGAATTGCTTTATGTGTAATGGCAGACATCACACCAGCCTTCATATTGAAAAATCGGCTTCAGGAGGCAACAAAGGAAAATCAACATTTACCACAATTAAAGAAATGCATCATGTATTAATTGCAACAGCACAGATACGAGTAAAATCGAAGCAAAACGAATACATCACCTTGAGAGCATTAATCGATCCTTGTGCTCAGGCGTCTTCAATCAGCGAGGAAGCCGTACAGATATTGCAGTTGCCAAAGCAAAGAACAGATGTAACACTGCATGGACTTGGGGGAGCAGTCGTCGGTAAAGCAAAATCGAAAGTTATTATCGAAGTGAAACCCAGATTTTTAAGCGATTTCGCTGTGAATATAGAGTCAGTCGTACTTCCTGAGTTGGCTTCAGTTCAGCAGGATCCAACGTGTGAATACGATATAGATAAATGGGAAAATTTTACGCTAGCAGATCCGGACTTTACGTCGTCAGATAGAATCGACGTGCTAATTGGAAGCGATGTCTACCACGAAATCCTTCAAGATGGTATTCACAAAAAAGATAGTATATTGGCGCAGAGGACGAAGCTAGGATGGATACTGTCGGGACCGACTACGGAAAAAAAGGGAAGCAGCAAGAAAATTGTAGCAACTACTACTCTGGAAAGATTTTGGGAGATACAGGAGGTGAGCGACAATCAAGCAGTGACAGAGGATGACTTTTGTATATCAAATTATGGTTCAACAACATCGTTAGCGAATGATGGCCGGTTTATGGTCAGACTTCCCTTCAGGGAAGACGTTGAATTAGGAGATTCACGTAAAAGAGCTATGGCGAGATTTTTGAACATTGAAAAGAAATTATGCGCCAACCCTGAACTAAAAATGGAATACAAACAGTTTATGGAAGAATATATTAGTATGGGGCATATGGAACGAGTAGAGCCGGAAATACGGGGAAAATACTACCTTCCCCATCAAGCTGTCATCAGAGAAAGCAGTATAACTACAAAAGTAAGAGTGGTGTTTGATGCGTCTTCCAAGACATCAAATGGAAGAAGCTTGAACGATATTCTCTACGCTGGACCAAGATAAAAGAGCACATGCCTGATCACCTCAAATTTCCTGGGAAAAAGTATGATCAAATTAGAGCGGTATACAAACTTCTTACTGCTAAGGCAGCATTAATTGAGGACCGACTGATGGTTTCAGCTAATATTCCATTGTTCACGCAGCACACGTCTCAGCTGCATCGGATCATCCCCCTGCCTATAAGGCTGAACGGTGGGAAAGTTGTAGCACAGCCATCGGGACATTATCTGATATATAATTTCAACAGGGATGCCTATCATATAATGACGCAAGCTGAGTTAAACATGTGTCAGCTGTACATTGACGATGAATATGTTTGCGAAGGTAATTGGCCATGGGTCGACGCAAATGACCATTCGTGTGAGGTGTACTCTCTTAAGCCCCTAAATGCACCGAGATGCCAGTTCTCTGAGACAAAGATGGAATCGCTATGGACGAAGCTGCAAGCCAACAACCGCTGGTTGTTCAAAGTTTTTCAACCAACAACTGCTCACGTATCCTGCAGTCGAGATTCACAGCAAATAGTCCAGCTACCGAGTCAAGGCATCATTACGATGAAGCCAGGATGTACATTAAGGGTAAAAGGAGCAACAATTTCCACACCTTTCAATCTTGAATCGAAGAAGGTCGTGGAAGACAAATCATCCTTCGTAGCAGACATAGACCGGCTGTCTAATTTCTCGGTCATGCCTTTAGGGCCGATGGTGGTAAATCACTCAGCAAGGCTAGTGGATATAGAGTCTCAGTTGAAAACGATCGATGTCTCACAGCTTAATCTAAAAGGGTTGAATTTTCATCACATCTCCGGGCACTTATCTCTAATGGTCATGGTAGCCGCCTGCATAATAGCTCTAATATGTTCAATCAGAAGATGCATAAAACCGACAAGAGTAGCATCTATTCACTTTGCCCCATCGCAGAATATTTGAAAGACTCAAACATGTGTGTGGAAATGGAATTGGTGTTTCACACGCTTATCTAAATATTATTTAGTTTTTAGTTTACTTTATGCTAAGTACTTACATTCTTATCAACATAGAATTTACTCTTCAGTTTAGTGATAATTTTGTATTGAACTATTTACGCACGACTATGTTTAATAGTTTTTGTAAATTATAATCTACCCAACGCTGTGTTTGCCTGCTGCATAAGATAATGAGCATGTAATAAAGATTTTACGACCCCCACAAGAGATATGCAAGATGATTCGCGTACGCAAGATGAGTCGCGTTGGTCTGTCACCAATTCATATGTATTCTTGAATAGAAAGTAAGGGTTGCTAGATAGTGTGTAAGGTTAAGAATTATTTTGTAAGCTAGCACTTAAGATGGAATTATGAAAAAATAAATTCAGTGTCGAATCAAGCATCATACGAGCATTTTCATTCTCCTCCCAAATACCGGGAATGCACCTGTTCACAATAGCCCCTGATGATTTGAATTAATTCGCCAACACTGTTTAGTTTTATTGCAAAATGTTTATTTCGTATTGCCAAATTTTGGCAAACATTGTTTTAATTCCTAAGGTAAGTCAATTTTATTTAGGATAAAATATATTAGACATGCAAATAATAAGATTATACGTACATTTTGATTTCAAACCATCAGGTATAATTAATTTTTATTGCAGTATGTTAACTGCTTGACGAACTATTGTAAAAGAAAGAGAGCTTGCTTGAGCACTCAAAATATAACTTCTTATTGTAGAATTTAGTACAAAAGGAATAAAGTGTAATGGAGGATTTAGCAAAAATTATGAATAATCGATAAATGACATCGAATTTGCTTAAAACAATACTTGAAATTATTCATGTTGGTTACTAGATGAGGTGATATGCGTTGACACCCACTCCATGCATCCGTTGCATCTCACCGAGACCGATATGTGGTGGATGCGATTACGACAAACGGAGTAGAAACATGGTCCGGGGTTGGTCTCGATCCCGGCTCGGACCAAGAGAATACAGATAACACATTCGGGATGGACGAACACGAACATGTATTTGCTGGGTTGGCGGCCCCTGGTCGGAGATTTGTACCTCCGAGCCAATCCGGTAAATAGAACCGGCCGCTGTGTATATCTGTAGTTTAATGAAGCTGCTCTACCTCCTTATTGTACCATGGGTATTTCCATAAGCTTTCAAAGGGTACTCATTTTGTAAATACCGAACCGGATAAAACCCGGATGTTGTATCCGAAATTTCTGGTCAAATAACCGGATATTTCTCTCATGCAAAAAATACTTTCCCTTAATTAGGTAAAAATAAAAAAATAGAAGAAATATATAGAAGAAATTGTTAGACTATTGGCGCTGGAGTCCAGTTAAATATTTTTCGCCTAGAGATAGTTTTCGCATGGCTAAATTACAGAAGATAGAACAAAGCTACCTCTAAATACATTTTTTTCTTTAGGTGCGTTGGATGCCACTACTCCGTTTAAAATACATCCACAGTTTGTTTGTGTGTACGTACTGTTTTGAATAAAAATAAAATGTTGTTGTTGCAAAATAGTCAGGTTTGTTTATTAGTGGAGAAAGACAAAAAACAAGGAAGGATTGGGGGCTCTTTCCGAAACCTAGGTATTCCCTGCCTTACCCCTGTAAGCATTAAATCTTTCACCACTAATAAACAAACGTTGTTTTTATAAACTGTTTTTTTAACTTTGAAGCGATCCCCTTTTTAAAGAGCAAAGATGGAGATTCCTTGGAATGTTGTAGCAGCCCATACATCTCTGTTTGCTCTTTTTCCATTTTCTGACTCCATTCAATCTGATTCTGCCTCTAAGTCCAGTTTCAAAAAGGATGTCACCTATATGGGTTGTGTCCATAACGAGACTGGAGTTATGTGAGTAGGTTTGGCTGGGCAGCGAAATAGGTGCAACGTGTCATGCGGGCCTGTGCCACAAGCTGGGCAGATGTTCTGCAAGTCGCTGTTAATCCGGGCCCAGTAGGAATTTAGGCGGCTGCACCATCCGGATCGTAATTGAGCAAAAACTACTCGGGTTTGTCGGGACAGCTCTCGTTCTTCAGCTGCGACGGGAGGGGGATGGTCTCCTAACACATTCACTCTGTATCCTTCAATGGCTTCTGAGACCGCATTAGAGTGAATACTATTCAGTTCCGCTAGATAGCCCTTTTGATCTAGAGGCTCTCTCTTATACCTACGTACCTCTCTCTAGATCATGAAGGTCTTTCCTAACGTGCCTGCGCGGAGGTTGCCTATCCACAAGATGGTGATTCGGATGGCTTTGTCTATAAAACCCAAGCAGGTATTGCATTGAAAGCATTTTGTCATGAGGAGGCACCCTGCTGCGGTTCTAAGGTCGGCACTAACATTGGCGGACCACACCGGTGCCGCATAATTTACCACAGACCGTCCTATCGTGTTGTAAGAGGTCAACAAGGTTTCCTTATCAGCTCCCCAATTACTGCCGGCCGGTCCCACGCCTCACATTCCCACCCCTGCGACATCCCTTTACGCAGGGACCGCGTACACATCATGATCACATTCACAATGGGAATTTTGTAGGAAATTGAAAACTAACTACAGAATCTAATTCATCAGCTAGTTTGTCAAATGATAAAACATGTATTTTAATTGTTTAAAAATGAAATTATTCTAGATTTAATAAATTCTAAACTCATACCAAAATCAGTATATAACAATTGGTAGTAATTGGTAGGAACCATGGTACAATGAATTCAAGGTAGGGCAGAACTACCATATGATTTAATTTTTTTTATTTTTCTGGCTTAATATGTCAACTTCATTTGCTTATGTGTGTGTCTTCTTTTCAATAATAAAAAATTGTTTAGAAAATATTCAAATTCGGGTGCTTTCAAAATGCTTATTGCAACGATTGCATCGACAAAATCTACAGTTTTTTCGCGAAATAAACCATAAGAGATATATAGAACGTGATTTTGAAAATAAATTTTGACCTTTCATTCAGTTTTCGCGGTATTTTAAATTATTTATTCAAAATTTATGCAACAAGTTGTTTGCTTTTTTATTGTTTTGATAGCAATTCTGACATTACAAGCCAAACAGGTAGACCTCTATACTTGCAATTTTTTCAAAGTTGACCTACCTTCTCTTCATTGTACCATGGTAGGAACATTACTTCTAATAGATAAGATTAGGGAATCTGAAGGTATATTACCATTTAATATTAATAATATTTAATAATAATATTTAATAATACGTCTGCTTCTAAGTGTGGGTAATCTAATTAATTTTAGCCTGCTAGCATAAGAAGGCAAAGGAAAATCAATATTCCAATATAAACCTCGCAAGGCAAATAACAGAAATTGTTTTTGCACGGATTCTATTTTATCTGAGTATATTGCATATTGAGGATCCCATACAACAGAACCACCGTTTAACAAGACCTTAAACACCATTTGCTTTATTTACCATTGTTATTACATGGCTATTAAAATTTAATTTTGGATCCAGCAAGAAGCCAATATCGACAAATTAATCTACAGTTGACAATGAATGACCTTCAATTATTATATTGCAATATCAGAGAAGATCTGGAGAAGCATATATGCATACATTTGCTCAAATTTAAATCCATACAATTTAACATGCACCATTGAAAAAGGTTATCTAAATCGATTTGAAGTAAACTAGCTTGTTTATCACAAATTTGGGAAATGAATAATTTAAAACCATCTGCGTACATTCACAATTTCGAGTAATCTATGGAATTAGGTAAATCGGTGAAAACAAAAGAAAGAAGGCCGGTCCAAGGTGACTTTCTTGCGGAACACCCGATGGAACGTTAATCGTTTTGGATAGATACCCTTCAAGCAAAACTAGTTGTGATCTATTTCATTTGACTAAGTTTGTGTTGAAACCCATATAATTTAATTTATATATTAGAAGTTCATGGTTTACCCTATCGAAAGCTTTACTAAAACTAATATAAATTGTGTCAGTTTGTTTACGATGGACAATTTCTTTTATTACTGTAAATTGTATTGACGTAAATTGTTTAAGATTTGTTGTAGTTGAAAGACCACTACAAAAACCATGCAATATAGACTCAATATAGATTGAATTTTCAGTGAAATTGCTGCAGTAATTAATTTTTCGAACAATTTTGGAATTACACTTAATTTTGCAATTCCTCTACAATTTTTGACACATTAGTAAGACTACCAGACTTATGTAAAGGTATAATATAAGATGTTTTCCAGAAAGATAGAAAGTGACCAAATTTAAGTGAATAATTAAGCAATATAGCTAAAGGAAGTGCTAATGTTTCTGAACAAGATGCAATACAATAATATTCTGATGACATATGCAACATCTTCCTACACGGCGTAAGATCCTTCTCTTAACCCTGTCACTCTCGGGGTGCTCTATAAACTGCCGGTTGAAATAACCCGCGCACCTCTTCAGATCTGTCACTTCTACGCCGTTAAATGAGACAGATGTTAGATCGTAATTTTTCCCAGGGTTCTAACGGTCATTGATGATTTGCTATTGATTTCTCTAAGGCAATACCGTTCAGGAACCAGAACCAGAGAACTTTGTTCGGCTTTCCAAACTTCTTCGATGCATTCTTTTCCTCTAGAATCGTCGTCGTAATCATCATATTCGTTTAAAATCTTGGATCCTTCTGTGGGCAGCGGCTTCTCTCCTTCTTCGACTTTTGGATTATTTTTAAGTAACTTGATAAGTTTCCCCGAAGTGGTTTTTCATCAGTCAGTGCGGGTGCGACACCAGAATTTCCTTCCACATCGCGTTCCTCAAAATGAGGACTTTCCGGCGGGAAAAAATTCCCGAAATTTCCTTCCAAGCCTGGAATCTGTTTTCGTTCAACAGTATTATGTCCCTCTCTTACACTTGATAGTTGTTTGGACAAGTCATCTTTCTCAGCTTCGACGACTTGCCTTTCCTCTTTTTTCTTGTCTTCATTTTTATTTTTGCTGGGTTGTAGCAATGGAAACATCTGCTTCATTTGTTCCATCATCGATTTCAAATGCTCCTGCTGCTGCTGCAGCATCATTTTCTGGAACGCCTGAAACTGTTGCTGTCATATAATAATCTGGTATATTCAATGGCCCAGGATTTTCGACCTCATGCCCCCTTCTCGGAGCTTTTGTTTTTGGAACTCCTTTTTTCATTTTTTGCATCATATTTTGCTTTTTTATATTTCTTTGTTTTTCTTTTTTGTATATTTTGCTTCTTTGTTTTTTGCGATGTTGCTTTCTTGGCCCTTTATCATTTATTTATTTTTTTTAATTTATATCTTTTTTAGTTCGGACTTTTGAGGTCCTCTTATCAAATTTGTATATTTTTGTATTGCGATTTTTTGTTGTACTTTTTTAGCGATTTTTTTCTTTGTTTTTTTTTTTATTTTTGCCCTTTGGGTTTCGTTTGTAATATTTATATGTTTTTTTTTTTTTAATTCTGCCTCTAAGGCTTTTTTATTCTTGCACAATGACTTTTTCGCTTAATTTTGTCCGTTCGACTATTTTTTAAAATGCCCTACGGTCTTATATTTCAAATGTCTCAGCGGACTTCTTTTGATAGCAGTTCTCCTCTTTCTTTGAAGAATAGCTACTTCTGCTTGTTGTGAGTTTCTTACCACTGGTGTGGGAAAACTCCTACAATTTTTTCGTTTTGTGGTCGCTAATTCGTTTTCAAGCGAAGGCTCGATTGATGTAAGATGAGAAAAGAAAACCAACCGAATGGTTTGGCTATTGATTCAATTCTAATTGTATTTAAAAAATATGTTTCCTAAGTGCTACCGAAACTAATCTAACTTAACCTAATCGCAGCCACGCAATTATTCTTATCTATTCTAATATTGATTGGAGAACATTGCAGGGCTGCTTGTTATTTCATTCAAGTGGTCTTGTGCATCTACTGAGCGCATCGATTCTTATCTATTCTAATATTGAATGGAGAACATTGCAGGGCTGCTTGTTATTTCATTTCAGTGGTCTTGTGCATCTACTGAGCGCATCGATATCTGTACGTGTGGGTCATAACCTTTATTATCTTACAAATTATCGTATGCGTCAGCGCACAAGATCACCGAATTGTTCACTGTGGTGTTTTATGGCGGCTGGGAAAAATTTAATTTTATAATATTTATTGTTTATTGCTAGATTTCCGAGGCGACTCAACCCACTCAAAAGTATGTAAAAAGTATTTAGTATCTTTGAAGCGGCGATGGTATATTCTCTGAATTCTTGCCAATTGGCTTTCCCGTGGTTAAGGAAAATAAACAGTGCATGTAGCAAATAATTCAGTGTGTTTATATGATTATGATCTCCGGAAATTACAGCCAAAATGGTGATCGAAACACTTTGAGAGTTATGATGTATCCAATAGATGAAGATGGCTTATCCAAAGCAATGAATAGAAAGCTGTGTGGTAGAAGGATTCAGGCAAAATATCACTGATTGTATTACAGTATAAGGAAATTTCACAGGTGTAGATTAGTTTCCTTGAACTCAAGCAGTGTGCAAAGATTGGAGTCTTGGGTTTGGTTCAGTTTATGGTGTAGTGAAAAGAGTATAGAAAAATTGTATCTTAAACCTCAGGCATTTAAGAATACAGTTTTGGACATCTCTTTGGGCGAGTGCCACATTATCACAATTATTATTATCAACAGCTCCAATGTGATGTAGAAACACCTTGTCATAAGGTTGACCAACCATCAACCTATTTATTAGTTTCGTATCCTTCGAGAATAGGTTCATTTTGAGGTACCAGGGACGTGCAAAAACATTTTCGCAAATTTGGGAAAAGTTTTTACCCCTTGGTTGTTGAAATTTAAGTGAATTCTTCGTTCCAGTCATGGCAATTTTGTGTTTAATCTTCTATAAAGCCTCCATATAACATAACAACGTTTAATATTTAAATCTTGTAGAATGTTATGGAAATCTCCAACCCGAAAATAGTCCGAGTTAACAGTAGCTAAAGCCCTGGTATCTTCCACAGCAATCTGAAGAGCCTTTTAAAGGACAAAAAACTCAACAAAGGTGGAGGAGGTTTTCAAGTCAATCTTGAAGATAAATCTTTGTCTCTTGGAGGTGTTGTAAATTCCACAACCAGTAGCATTCTCTTTGACCGACGCATCTGTTGCAAATAATTCAAAATCATGCATTTTGTAGTGAGCAAGCTCCTTGTAAATGGCTTGTAAAAGCTAGTAAGTTGGTTCTGATGTGTGGAATTTCTGTCGGGAATATGAGCCTGACTAGTGGATTGTCAGCAATAATATCATACGATATCTGGATTTCGTAGCTTCATCCTACTGATCTTTTTGCAGTTAAAAACTGGGCTCTGTGTGCAGGCGGTATTTCTCCAGCAAGCGTATATACCACAAGAGTAGGTGATGATTTGGGCACTCCCAGGGATCTTTTAATCATGTCAATTAGACGTTCAACTTTTTTCTTTATGTACTGTGGAGAATTAGCAGTTGTCGTTTTAGAGTACTCAATTTTGGATCTAACAACGCTTCTATATACATTAAGGCTAGTTTTGGATGTAGACCTCCTCTGATTGATTGAAGTAGGGCATCTCAAAAGATTAGTCTTATTGATAACGGCATTCTCTATAAATGAGAAATGTTCAGAAACAGACAGGGAGTTAGAGATAATTCGTCCCAGAAACGTTAGTTTCTTTTATTGTTGCATGAAGGTAACATCGACATTCAGTGTAATTTGTTTTATGGTGGATTATACGAAAGATTGAGTGCGGAAAGTGCATTTAGAAGTCGTTTGATTTTCCTTGAAGGTGTTCCATGGCTTGATCAAAGTCCTTATGATATACCACCCTGCTGCGGTTCTAAGGTGGGCATTCTGGCAGGACTGAATATTTTTCCACTACGTAGCACTATCATTGGCGGACCACACCGGAGCCGCATAATTTACCACAGACCGTCCTATCGTGTTGTAAGAGTTCAACAAGGTTTCCTTATCAGCTCCCCAAGTACTGCCGGCCGGTCCCACGCCTCACATTCCCACCCCTGTGACATTCCTTTACGCAGGGATCGCGTACACATCATGATCCGCATCACAATGGGAATTTTGTAGGCAATTGAAAACCAACTACAGAATCTAATTCATCAGATAAAATATGTATTTTAATTGTTTAAAAATAAAAATATTCTAGATTTAATAACTTCTAAACTCATACTAAACATTACAGTACACAGAATTAAAGTCAATAATAATTCGTGCGGTGAAAATCAGTATATAACAATTGGTAGTAATTGGTAGGAACATTACTAGTAATTTTATTACAAAAATCGAGTTCAACATTATATATATATAGCCCGCTAGCATAAGAAGGATAAGCAAAACCACTATTCTAATATAAACCTCATAAGGCAAATAGCAGAAATTGTTTTTGCACGAATTCTAAAATTCTCTAAATTAATCTACAGTTGACAATGAATGACCTTCAATTATTATATTGCAATATCAGAGAAGATCTGGAGAAGCATATATGCATACATTTGCTCAAATTTAAATCCATACAATTTAACATGCACCATTGAAAAAGGTTATCTAAATCGATTTGAAGTAAACTAGCTTGTTTATCACAAATTTGGGAAATGAATAATTTAAAACCATCTGCGTACATTCACAATTTCGAGTAATCTATGGAATTAGGTAAATCGGTGAAAACAAAAGAAAGAAGGCCGGTCCAAGGTGTCTTTCTTGCGGAACACCCGATGGAACGTTAATCGTTTTGGATAGATACCCTTCAAACAAAACTAGTTGTGATCTATTTCCATTTCATTTGACTAAGTTTGTGTTGAAACCCATATAATTTAATTTATATATTAGAAGTTCATGGTTAACCCTATCGAAAGCTTTACTAAAATCAATATAAATTGTGTCAGTTTGCTTACGCTGGACAAATTATTTTATTACTGTAAATTGTATTGACGTAAATTGTTTAAGATTTGTTGTAGTTGAAAGACCACTACAAAAACCATGCTGATATAGACTCAATATAGATTGAATTTTCAGTAAAATTACTGCAGTAATTAATTTTTCGAACAATTTTGGAATGACACTTAATTTTGCAATTCCTCTACAATTTTTGACACATTAGTAAGACTACCAGACTTATGTTAAGGTATAATATAAGATGTTTTCCAGAAAGATAGAAAGTGACCAAATTTAAGTGAATAACTAAGCAATATAGCTAAAGGAAGTGCTAATGTTTCTGAACAAGATGCAATACAATAATATTCTGATGACATATGCAACATCTTCCTACACGGCGTAAGATCCTTCTCTTAACCCTGTCACTCTCGGGGTGCTCTATAAACTGCCGGTTGAAATAACCCGCGCACCTCTTCAGATCTGTCACTTCTACGCCGTTAAATGAGACAGATGTTAGATCGTAATTTTTCCCAGGGTTCTAACGGTCATTGATGATTTGCTATTGATTTCTCTAAGGCAATACCGTTCAGGAACCAGAACCAGAGAACTTTGTTCGGCTTTCCAAACTTCTTCGATGCATTCTTTTCATCTAGAATTGTCCTTTCTGTCCTTCTCTGCGCAACGGCTTCTCTTCTTCTTCATCTTTTCGATTATTTTTAAGTAACTTGATAAGTTTCTCCCGGAGTGGTTTTTCCTCAGTAAGTGCGGGTGCGACACCAGAATTTCCTTCCACATCGCGTTCCTCAAAATGAGGACTTTCCGGCGGGAAAAAATTCCCGAAATTTCCTTCCAAGCCTGGAATCTATTTTCGTTCAACAGTATTATGTCCCTCTCTTACACTTGACAGTTGTTTGGACAAGTCATCTTTCTCAGCTTCGACGACTTGCCTTTCCTCTTTTTTCTTGTCTCCATTTTTATTTTTGCTGGGTTGTAGCAATAGAAACATCTGCTTCATTAGTTCCATCATCGATTTCAAATGCTCCTGCTGCTGCTGCAGCATCGTTTTCTGGAACGCCTGAAACTGTTGCTGTCATATAATAATCTGGTATATTCAATGGCCCAGGATTTTCGACCTCAATAACTGCTGACGCTGTTGTTTTGTCCGCTTTCTGAAACTCATGCCCCCCTTCTTGGAGTTTTTGTTATTGGAACTCCTTTTTCATTTTTTGCATCATATTTTGCTTGTTTATATTTCTTGGCTGTCTATCATTTATTTATTTTTTTTTATTTTTTATTTTTTTTTTAATTTTAGGTCGAAGTTATCATACAGTCCCCATATAATATATAATTTGGTATTTGAAGTTCGTAATAGATACTGCAGCATAAAACAGAAAATGGGCCATGAAGGTCCACGTCTTCGTATAGCCCCCATATACCGTACCCTCCGATATTCGGTATTTTGATGATTTTAGCTACATTTTCAACAGATTTTTCTTCAAGTTTCGCATTTAAATCCACTTCGTCGTATAGGCATTCGGTATTTTTAAGATTTTAACAGAATTTTTAACAGATTTTATTTTTTGAAAGTTGCCAAATTTGTACCAAATGGTGGAGGATATTAAAACCTGTTACCTGTTTTCTTTGGTTTTGCCCCTATGGCGAGTTTTTTTATTTTTGCCCTTTGGGTCTTGTTTGTAATATGTATATGTGGTTTTTTTATTCTGCCTCTATGGCTTTTTTATTTTTGCACAATGGCTGTTTCGTTTAATTTTGTCCCTTTGACTATATTTTAAAATGCCCTACGGTCTTACATTTAAAATGTCTCAGCGGACTTCTTTTGGTAGCAGTACTCCTCTTTTTTTGAAGAATAGCTACTTCTGTTTGTAGTGAGTCTCTCACCAATGGTGGGGGAAAACTACTACAATTTTTTCGTTTTGTGGTCGCTAATTCGTTTCACTTTGACAAAAGCGAAGGCTCGATTGACCAATGTAAGATGAGAAAAGAAAACCAAAGCATTCGGTTGGTTGTTGTTGATTTAATTCTAATTTTATTTCAAAAATATGTTTGTTAAGTGCTACCGAAACTAATCTAACTTAACCTAATCGCAGCCACGCAATTATTCTTATCTATTCTAATATTGATTGGAGAACATTGCAGGGCTGCTGGTTATTTCATTCAAGTGGTCTTGTGCATCTACTGAGCGCATCAATTCTTATCTATTCTAATATTGAATGGAGAACATTGCAGGGCTGCTTGTTATTTCATTCAAGTGGTCTTGTGCATCTACTGGGCGCATCGATATCTGTACGTGTGGGTCATAACCTTTATTATATCACAAATTATCGTATGCGTCAGCGCACAAGATCACCGAATTGTTCACTGTGGTGTTTTATGGCGGCTGGGAAAAAAATTTAATTTTATAATATTTATTGTTTATTGCTAGATTTCCGAGGCGACTCAACCCACTCAAAAGTGTGTAAAAAGTATTTTGTACACCTCCAGAGTAAGTTCCCTGACTCTTAGGGTTAATACGGCGAAGCTCACCTCGCTCGTTTGCTAGTCCCGCTGCCTCTGCTAGGAAATTTAGTTTTATTTCAGATATTCGACCAGCAGGTATATAGCGAGCAGATGCAGCTTTGATGATGCCCGGAAACACCTATCTGCTACCTGAACATCATATGGGTTGGGCAGTTCTCTGAAGCGGCGATTGGTACATTCTCTGAATTCTTGCCAATTGGCTTTCCCGTGGTTAAGGAAAGTACGGCGTTCAGAGTGTGTATATATGATTATGATCTCCGGAAATTATAGCCAAAATGGTGATCTTTGAGAGTTTTGATGTATCCAGTAGATTAAGATGGCTTATCCAAAGCAATGAATAGAAAGCTGTGGAATAGAAGGATTCAGGCAAAATATCACAGATTGTATCGCAGTAAGAGGAAATTTCACAGGTGTAGATAAGTTTCCTTGATGAACTCAAGCATACAGTTTTTGGCATCTCTTTGGGCGAGTGCCACATTTATCATAATTATCATTATCAACAGCTCCAATGTGATGTAGACACACCTTGTCATAAGGTTGACCAACCATCAACCTATTTATTAGTTTCGTATCCTTCAATGATAGGTCCATTTTATGTATCAGGGACGTGCAAAAACATTTTCGCAAATTTGGAAAAAGTTTTTACCCCTTGGTTGTTGAAATTTGAGTGAATTCTTCGTTCCAGTCATGGCATGTGTTTAATCTTCATTAAAGCCTCCATATAACATAACAACGTTTAATATTTAAATCTTGTAGAATGTTATGGAAATCTCCAACCCGAAAATAGTCCGAGTTAACAGTAGCTAAAGCCCTACAGGCAACAATGTGGTATCTTCCACAGCAATCTGAAGAGCCTTTTAAAGGACAAAAAACTCACCAAAGGTGGAGGAGGTTTTCAAGTCAATCTTGAAGATAAATCTTTGTCTCCTGGAGGTGTTGTAAATTCCACAACCAGTAGCTTTGTCTTTGACCGACGCATCTGTTCCAAATAATTCAAAATCATGCATTTTGTAGTGAGCAAGCTCCTTGTAAATGGCTTGTAAAAGCTAGTAAGTTGGTTCTGATGTGTGGAATTTCTGTCGGGAATATGAGCCTGACTAGTGGATTGTCAGCAATAATATCATACGATATCTGGATTTCGTAGCTTCATCCTACTGATCTTTTTGCAGTTAAAAACTGGGCTCTGTGTGCAGGCGGTATTTCTCCAGCAAGCGTATATACCACAAGAGTAGGTGATGATTTGGGCACTCCCAGGGATCTTTTAATCATGTCAATTAGACGTTCAACTTTTTTCTTTATGTACTGTGGAGAATTAGCAGTTGTCGTTTTAGAGTACTCAATTTTGGATCTAACAACGCTTCTATATACATTAAGGCTAGTTTTGGATGTAGACCTCCTCTGATTGAAGTAGGGCATCTCAAAAGATTAGTCTTATTGATAACGGCATTCTCTATAAATGAGAAATGTTCAGAAACAGACAGGGAGTTAGAGATAATTCGTCCCAGAAACGTTAGTTTCTTTTGTTGTTGCATGAAGGTAACATCGACATTCAGTGTAATTTGTTTTATGGTGGATTAAACGAAAGATTGAGTGCGGAAAGTGCATTTAGAAGTCGTTTGATTTTCCTTGAAGGTGTTCCATGGCTTGATCAAAGTCCTTATGATATACCACCCTGCTGCGGTTCTAAGGTGGGCATTCTGGCAGGACAGAATATTTTTCCACTACGTAGCACTATCATTGGCGGACCACACCGGAGCCGCATAATTTACCACAGACCGTCCTATCGTGTTGTAAGAGGTCAACAAGGTTTCCTTATCAGCTCCCCAAGTACTGCCGGCCGGTCCCACGCCTCACATTCCCACCCCTGTGACATTCCTTTACGCAGGGATCGCGTACACATCATGATCCGCATCACAATGGGAATTTTGTAGGCAATTGAAAACCAACTACAGAATCTAATTCATCAGATAAAATATGTATTTTAATTGTTTAAAAATAAAAATATTCTAGATTTAATAACTTCTAAACTCATACTAAACATTACAGTACACAGAATTAAAGTCAATAATAATTCGTGCGGTGAAAATCAGTATATAACAATTGGTAGTAATTGGTAGGAACATTACTAGTAATTTTATTACAAAAATCGAGTTCAACATTATATATATATAGCCCGCTAGCATAAGAAGTATAAGCAAAACCACTATTCTAATATAAACCTCATAAGGCAAATAGCAGAAATTATTTTTGCACGGATTCTAAAATACTCTAAATTAATCTACAGTTGACAATGAAAGACGTCAATACTATATTGGAACATCAGAGAAGATCTGGAGAAGCATGTATGCTAACATTTGCTCAAATTTAAATCCATACAATTTAACAAGCACCATTGAAAAAGGTTATCTAAAGTAAACTAGCTTGTTTATCACAAATTTGGGAAATGAATAATTTAAAACCATCTGCGTACATTCACAATTTCGAGTAATTTATGGAATTAGGTAAATCGGTGAAAACAAAAGAAGAAGGCCGGTCCAAGGTGACTTTCTTGCGGAACACCCGATGGAACGTTAATCGTTTTGGATAGATACCCTTCAAACAAAACTAGTTGTGATCTATTTCCATTTCATTTGACTAAGTTTGTGTTGAAATCCACATAATTTAATTTATATATTAGAAGTTCATGGTTAACCCTATCGAAAGCTTTACTAAAATCAATATAAATTGTGTAAGTTTGCTTACGCTGGACAAATTCTTTTATTACTGTAAATTGTATTGACGTAAATTGTTTAAGAATTGTTGTAGTTGAAAGACCGCTACAAAAACCGTTCTGATAACATATGCAACATCTTTCTACACGGCGTAAGATCCTTCTCTTAACCCTGTCACTCTCGGGGTGCTCTATAAACTGCCGGTTGCTATTGATTTCTCTAAGGCAATACCGATCCGGAATCAGAACCAGAGAACTTTGTTCGGCTTTCCCCACTTCTTCGATGCATTCTTTTCCTCTAGAATCGTCGTCGTAATCATCATATTCGTCGAAAATCTTGGATCCTTCTCTGCGCAGCGGCTTCTCTTCTTCTTCCACTTTTCAGTCAGTGCGGGTGCGACACCAGAATTTCCTTCCACATCTCGTTCCTCAAAATGAGGACTTGCCGGCGGGAAAAAATTCCCAAATTTTCCTTCCAAGCCTGAAATCTGTTTTCGGTCAACAGCATTATGTTCCTTTCTTACACTTGATAGTTGTTTGGACAAGACATCTTTCTCAGTTTTTACGACTTGCCTTTCCTCTTGTTTCTTGTCTTCATTTTTATTTTTGCTGGGTTGTAGCAATAGGAACATCTGCTTCATTAGTTCCATCATCGATTTCAAATGCTCCTGCTGCTGCTGCAGCATCATTTTCTGGAACGCCTGAAACTGTTGCTGTCATAAAATGATCTGGTATATTCAATGGCCCAGGATTTTCGACCTCAGGGCCTCCTGACGCTGTTGTTTTATCCGCTTTCTGAAGCTCATGCTCCCCTTCTTGGAGTTTTTGTTTTTGGAACTCCTTTTTCATTTTTTGCATCATATTTTGCTTTTTTATATTTCTTTGTTTTTTTTTTTCGATGTTGCTTTCTTGGCTCTTTGTCATTTATTTATTTTTTTTTAACTTATATCTTTTTTAGTTCGGACTTTTGAGGTCCTCTTATCAAATTTGTATGTTTTTGTTTTGCGACTTTGTTGTACTTTTTTAGCGATTTTTTTCTTTGGTTTTTCCCCTATGGCGAGTTTTTTTTTTATTTTTGCCCATTGGGTTTCGTTTGTAATATTTATATGTTTTTTTTTTTTTTTTAATTCTGCCTCTATGGCTATTTTATTCTTGCACAATGACTTTTTCGTTTAATTTTGTCCCTTCGATTATTTTTTAAAATGCCCTACGGTCTTATATTTCAAATGTCTCAGCGGACTTCTTTTGGTAGCAGTTCTCCTCTTTTTTTTTGAAGAATAGCTACTTCTGCTTGTTGTGAGTCTCTTACCACTGGTGGGGGAAAACTCCTACAATTTTTTCGTTTTGTGGTCGCTAATTCGTTTTAAAGCGAAGGCTTGATTGACCAATGTAAGATGAGAAAAGAAAACCAACCGAATGCTTTGGCTGTTGATTCAATTCTAATTGTATTTAAAAAATATGTTTCCTAAGTGCTACCGAAACTAATCTAACTTGACCTAATCTAATCTATTCTAATGTTGAATGGAGAACATTGCAGGGCTGCTTGTTATTTCATTCAAGTGGTCTTGTGCATCTACTGAGCCCATCGATATCTGTACGTGTGGGTCATAACCTTTATTATCTCACACATTATCGTATGCGTCAGCGCACAAGATCACCGAATTGTTCACTGTGGTGTTTTATGGCGGCTGGGAAAAATTTAATTTTATAATATTTATTGTTTATTGCTAGATTTCCGAGGCGACTCAACCCACTCAAAAGTGTGTAAAAAGTATTTTGTACACCTCCAGAGTAAGTTCCCTGACTCTTAGGGTTAATACGGCGAAGCTCACCTCGCTCGTTTGTTAGTCCCGCTGCCTCTGCTAGGAAATTTAGTTTTACTTCAGATATTCGACCAGCAGGTATATAGCGAGCAGATGCAGCTTTGATGATGCCCGGAAACACCTATCTGCTACCTGAGCATCATATGGGTTGGGCAGTTCTCTGAAGCGGCGATTGGTACATTCTCTGAATTCTTGCCAATTGGCTTTCCCGTGGTTAAGGAAAGTACGGCGTTCAGAGTGTATATATATGATTATGATCTCCGGAAATTATAGCCAAAATGGTGATCTTTGAGAGTTTTGATGTATCCAGTAGATTAAGATGGCTTATCCAAAGCAATGAATAGAAATGACACTTAATTTTGCAATTCCTCTACAATTTTTGACACATTAGTAAGACTACCAGACTTATGTAAAGGTATAATATAAGATGTTTTCCAGAGAGTTAGAAAGTGACCTAATTTAAGTGAATAATTTAGCAATACAGCTAAAGAAAGTGCTAATGTTTCTGAACAATATACAATATTGATTTCTCTAAGGCAATACCGTTCAGGAACCAGAACCAGAGAACTTTGTTCGGCTTTCCCCACTTCTTCGATGCATTCTTTTCCTCTAGAATCGTCGTCGTAATCATCATATTCGTCGAAAATCTTGGATCCTTCTCTGCGCAGCGGCTTCTCTTCTTCTTCCACTTTTCGATTATTTTTAAGTAATTTGATAAGTTTCTCCCGGAGTGGTTTTTCATCAGTAAGTGCGGGTGCGACACCAGAATTTCCTTCCACATCTCGTTCCTCAAAATGAGGACTTTCCGGCGGGAAAAAATTCCCGAAATTTCCTTCCAAGCCTGGAATCTGTTTTCGTTCAACAGTATTATGTCCCTCTCTTACACTTGATAGTTGTTTGGACAAGTCATCTTTCTCAGCTTCGACAACTTGCCTTTCCTCTTTTTTCTTGTCTTCATTTTTATTTTTGCTGGGTTGTAGCAATGGAAACATCTGCTTCATTTGTTCCATCATCGATTTCAAATGCTCCTGCTGCTGCTGCAGCATCATTTTCTGGAACGCCTGAAACTGTTGCTGTCATATAATATTCAATGGCCCAGGATTTTCGACCTGAGTAAGTGCTGACGCTGTTGTTTTGTCCGCTTTCTGAAGCTCATGCCCCCTTCTCGGAGCTTTTCTTTTTGGAACTCCTTTTTCATTTTTTGCATCATATTTTGCTTGTTTATATTTCTTTTTTTTTTGTATATTTTGCTTCTTGTTGTTGTTGTTGTAGCAGTAGTACATGTATGTGTTTCCGTTCTGCTAATCTGGTTCCAGCTCCAGGTTTAGAAATTCGGCTACTTTAACGGACTGTAGCCAGAGATCTTCTGGAGTGAGTTGGGTAGGTTTGGCTGTGCAATTAAAGAGGTGTAGCGTATTGTGCGGGCCTGTATCGCACGCCGGGCAGGCGTGACGCACATCTTCATCAATTCGTGCCCAATACGAATCCTGAACGTAATTGCGCCAAAACTACCCTGGTTTGTCTAGGCAGCTGACGTTCTTCAGCTGCAATGGATGGGGGGTGGACTCCGAGGACGGCATTTACTTTAAAACTGCTAATAGCATCCGCGACTGCATCGGTGTGAATGCCACTCAGACCTGCCTGATAGGCTTCTTGATCTAGAGGTTCTCTCTTGTAGCGCTGGACCTCCCTCTCTCCACCATATCATGGTTGGGATGACTCTCACGGTAACACCCAATCAGGTACTGCAACGAAAGCATATGATTATGCTGACGTAAGGGAAGGACTTTCGCCTTCTCATGTAGATGGTCCACTGGTGTCATGAGGAGGCACCCTGTCGCAGTTCTCAGGCAGCGTTCTGTCAGGTCTGGATGTGCTTCCACTGCGTAGCACTAGTATTCGCAGACCACACTGGAGCCGCATAGCTGACCACAGACCGACCTATCGCGTTATAAGAGGTCAACAAGGTTTCTTTGTCCGCACCCTAAGAGCTGCCGGCTAGCGCCTTGAGGACCTTGTTCCTACTTTTCATCTTGTCGCAGATAGCTGTGGCTTGCGCGGACGACTTGAACATGCTGTCGAACGTGACCCCAAGAATCTTGGGGTAGTTCGTGGTCGGTATTAGATTCCCCTCGACCTGAACATTCAGCTGTGTTCTAATCTCCGCAGACCATGTGGTAAAGAGTGTGGCCGTTGATTTCGTGGCGGATATTTTCATATTCCTCGCGTGGAAGTATGCGGCAAGCCTTTCGCATATGTCATCGACCACTGGACCCGACGCCATGATCGTACAATCATCCGCATACGTTACGATCTCAATGCCGTCTGGAGGGCGAGGAATTCTGGAAAGGTAGAGGTTAAACAGTTCCGGAGATATCACCCCACCTTGGGGAACTCCCTGTTTCACTCTACGGGCTTTGGACTTCATGTTCCGGAATTCCACGTACGACTGGCGTCCACACATATAGTTGATTATCCAACGTTTCAAACTTGGCCGGAGGGTAGTTCTCTGCACGTCCTCAAACAGTGTGGCATGATTGACCGTATCAAATGTCTTTGATAGGTCAAGGGCTACAAACACTGTTCTTTCACACGGCCTGTTCTGGTTCAGTCCTCTACTAATATGTGTGGAAATGGCGTGTAATGCTGTTGTGGTACTATGTTGTGGACGGAATCCATGCTGGTGGTTGGCAACTGTATAGCTTCCTCTAATGCTGGGGAGGAGTAAAGCCTCAAGAGTCTTTGCTACTGGCGACAAAAGCGAAATCGGCCTGTACGATTCGCCTTTACTGGCATCCTTGACTGGCTTCAGTAGCGGGACCACCCGGCCCATTTTCCAGGTTTCGGGCTCTATGTGGGTGGCTAGCGGCAAATTGAGAACTTTCGTAAAGTACTCGACTCCCGGCGTATCCAGCTGCTTCAACAATACCATTGAGATTCCGTCCGGGCCCAACGGATGACATTTGCAACATCACCCATCGTAAACTGTGGTGGTTCCTCCTCGGCGGGAAGAGATATGATACGACGTAGTACTCTTCGCTTCGCCCTATCGCTCTCGGGGTGCTCGACAAATTGTCGGTTAAAGTATTCCGCGCACCTCTTCGGATCAGTCACCGTTACGTTGTTAAAAGTGACTGAGGTCCTATCATGCTTTTTTCCAGGGTTCGAGAGCGACTTAACCGTTACCCACAGCTTACTCATATCGGTTCCAATGTTGGAGCACTTCAGATGGTCTAGTCACTTTTTCATCTTATGCTCCTGTACCAACCGGTTGACTTCCACTGTCAAATCACTGATTCTAGGATCAGTAGGGTTGGTACGACGGAGATCATCACACTCGTTTGCTAATCCCGCTGCCTCCGCTGGGAAGTTTGGTCTTATCTCGGGTATTCGACCAGCAGGCATATAGCGTGCGGCTGCAGCTTTGATGATGTTTCGGAAAATCCTTTCTGCTACCCGAACATCAGAAAGGTTGGGCAGTTTTCTGAAGCGGCGGTTGGTGAATTCTCTGAACTCTGGCCAGTGAGCTTTCTCATGGTTAAGGAAAGTGCGGCGTTCAGAGGTTATGAAATCGGGCGACCTGCTTATGGAGACGATTATCGGGAAATTGTCTGAGCCAAGAGAAATGACGGGTTGCCAAGTCACGTCATTTATCAGACCGGGTGACACCATGGTTAAATCTGGCGAACTGTGACTCTCTCCTCTTATTCGGGTGGGGGCATCCTCGTTAACCGTTGTAATCATTACAACGTTGTAGGCTGCAATTTTCATTCAGCTTGTGTTCCTGCACCGCTGCGAACTTAATATTCCTCCGACTCATAAATTCCACTATCTCATCTATTTTGCCCCGTAGTCCGTTGCAATTGAATTGCAAGAATGATGCACAATCCGGAGTTGGAACAGCAACATGTGGCGTTAAGTGCTGCGGTGTTGGTGGCTGTTCTGGAGACTGCGGTGGAGTGCCATACTCCGACGACGTTTCTGATGAGGACGACGAAGAAGTGGACTCGCTGGGGACTACGTTACTGCAGCAAGTCGCAACATAATCCCTTTCGCTGTAGTCTCGCAAACGCCTTAGTCCGGAACAGTTCTTGAAGTGCACCCATTCTCTGCATTCATTACATCGCACCGAAACTGATCTGTGGTGGATGACGTTCTGGCAAACCGAGCAGAACCAAGGTCCGGGGTTTTCCTCAATTCCGGCACGGACCATTAAAATCCGGAGCAAGCATTCCGGGATATGCTGCTCCTAATGCAGAAAAATAAACAAACACAAACATGTACATACTGGGTTGGCAGCCGCTGGCCGAAACTGGGATCTTGTTGTTTCGGGTCAATCCGGTATCGTAGAACCCGCTGCCGTGGGATTGATTTTGCTTCTTTGTTTTTTCGATGTTGCCTTCTTGGCTGTCTATCATTTATTTATTTATTTACTTATTTTTAATTTTTTATTTTTTAATGTTAGGCCCAAGTTATCATACAGCCCCCATATAACATATAATTTGGTGTTTGAAGTTCGTAATAGATACTGCAGCATAAAACAGAAAATGGGCCATGTAGGTCCACGTCTTCGTATAGCCCCCATATACCGTACCCTCCGATATTCGGTATTTTGATGATTTTAGCTACATTGTAAACAGATTTTTCTTCAAGTTTCGCATTTAAATGTTGTAATAACTTATGACAAAAGTTGCCTATGCAGTCCACGTCGTCGTAGAGGCATTCGGTATTTTTAAGATTTTAACAGAATTTTTAATGGTATTTTTTTTATTTTTTTTTGAAAATTGCCAAATTTGTACCAAATGGTAGAGGGTATTAAAACCAGTTACCTGTTTTCTTTGGTTTTGCCCTTATGGCGACTTTTTTTATTTTTGCCCCTTGGGTCTTGTTTGTAATATGTATATGTGTTTTTTTTATTCTGCCTCTATGGCTTTTTTATTTTTGCACAATGGCTGTTTCGTTTAATTTTTTCCCTCTTTTTTTGAAGAATAGCTACTTCTGTTTGTAGTGAGTCTCTTACCACTGGTGGGGGAAACTCCTAAATTTTTTTCGTTTTGTGGTCGCTAATTCGTTTCACTTTGACAAAAGCGAAGGCTCGATTGACCAATGTAAGATGAGAAAAGAAAACCAACCGAATGCTTTGGCTGTTGATTTAACTCTAATTTTATTTCAAAAATATGTTTCTCAAGTGCTACCGAAACTAATCTAACTTAACCTAATCGCAGCCACGCAATTATTCTTATCTATTCTAAAATTGAATGGAGAACATTGCAGGGCTGCTTGTTATTTCATTCAAGTGGTCTTGTGGTGCATCTACTGAGCGCATCGATATCTGTACGTGTGGGTCATAACCTTTATTATCTCACACATTATCGTATGCGTCAGCGCACAAGATCACCGAATTGTTCATTGTGGTGTTTTATGGCGGCTGGGAAATATGTAATTTTAGAATATTTATTGTTTATTGCTAGATTTTCCCAGCGACTCAACTCACTCAAAAGTATGTAAAAAGTATTTTGTACACCTCCAAAGTAAGTTCCCTGACTCTTAGGGTTAATACGGCGAAGCTCACCTCGCTCGTTTGCTAGTCCCGCTGCCTCTGCTAGGAAATTTAGTTTTACTTCAGATATTCGACCAGCAGGTATATAGCGAGCGGATGCAGCTTTCTGCTACCTGAACATCATATGGGTTGGGCAGTTCTCTGAAGCGGCGATGGTACATTCTATGAATTCTTGCCAATTGGCTTTCCCGTGGTTAAGGAAAGTACGGCGTTCAGAGTGTATATATATGATTATGATCTCCGGAAATTATAGCCAAAATGGTGATATTTGAGAGTTTTGATGTATCCAGTAGATCCAAAGCAATGAATATAAAGCTGTGGGGTAGAAGTATTCAGGCAAAATATCACAGATTGTATCGCAGTAAAAGGAAATTTCACAGGTGTAGATAAGTTTCCTTGACGAACTCAAGCATACAGTTTTTGGCATCTCTTTGGGCGAGTGCCACATTTATCATAATTATCATTATCAACAGCTCCAATGTGATGTAG